CGTTTTCCGTGTTTCCATGTCGGCCTTGTGTGGCCGAACCGTCTATCTGATAGTGAACTGCAGCAGATACGACCGTTACCGTCCTCGTGTGGCCGGGGCCTTAGAGATGTCCTGCCCTAGCCTATCACGTACAATGTATACATACGGAAGCGCAAGTGTTGCATAATGATTTCACGATGTTCATAAGTAAACGAAGGAGTCCTATGGAGGTGTTTCAGGCATGCACAAAAACCTATAGGACACACTACATGAGAGGGAAACCCCAAAAGCATAATAGGGCCTCTTTAGGAACTAATTATGAGACGTAAGGACCGGAGGAAGCAGGGCGGAGATGCTGCAGGGGGGGGGGCTGGCCTACATGCCTGAACATATGCATCACCAGGTCAGGGTTGAGGGGAGGTATGCTCACACTCGACCACCGGGACAACACACACACAGCATATGTCATCTCTTATCACACAGCAACGGAAACACAGACAACGTAAAACATTTACATAAAACCTCTCTTATCAAGGGTTACAATCCAGAGCTTCTTGTATAAAATTAGCCGTTTACATTACATTTAATGCAGCAATTTTCAAAGGAATGGTCCACTGTTCTCTCTCCTTCATCAGGCGAGGTAATTATTAATCAAGGTTCAAAGTCCCTGCAGTCTGTAAAACACGAAATGAAGAGCTCCAAAGAGTATCCACATATTGACATTTCTGTCAACAGCAGAAATTCCAGCAGCTCTCTCCAATGACAATCACTACGACAGGAGACCAACACAAGGCCAAGAGGTCCCAGGAGGCCATGATGTGTATCTATGATCCCAAAACAATTCCGAGCAGGAGGAGCTATGAGATGGTGTGACGCAACTTTGGCTCATTATGAAGGGATGGAAGAAGAAGAATCGATACTTTGAACCACAATTAAAGTATTGGACACTACTATTGGTGAAACACTTTTAACTATATTAAAAGCTAGGAAAAAGTGTCCAACCATAAGTCAATCCAGTACCATTAGAGGAAGTTAGATTGTGATTGATATTGTGTTGGGATTTGTGATTGAAGGTGGGTAAAGGGTTAGGGTTAGGGTTAGAATGTAAGCCTACCCATTTTACCACTGGCCATGTCAACTGTGTTTGTGTTGGCCTAGAATCATGGAATATGTTGTTTCTGGTTGTTAATCATTTAACGTCGCTAGTAAATGTGCAATATTAGATGGATTGCTTCTGAAGGCTCCTCTAACTCTGGGAAGGGCATGAATGCATTAAGTCAGATACTGTATCTAATTTCTACGTTTGTCTACTATCATATACACCATTTTTTTCTGTTACCATAAGCTTTTGGTGTTAAAAGACAATACCAAGTTGCAAATATGAGTTCCATAACAACACACAAGTGTAACATGGATTTTGTCTGACTATTTCTATAATCAAGCAATATACAATTTGAGAGGTATTTTACCTAAACCCTTCATATTCTATAGCTGTATATATTTTATTCTACTGTTGATCATTTAAAGGTGGGGGAGGTACGTTTGAGAAACCGGCTCGAGATACACTTTTTGTTATATTCCATGGAATGCTCTTAACTTCCCGATAGCAATGAATATGTTATCTTAAAAAAATGTCATCTGTGGAAGCCGTAGTACTGTAAAAAGCACGGCCCGGCTAAAATAACTGGATGGCCTACCTGCCTGTCAGCCTTCCATCTGTGCACAAACTTATCTCGTGCCCTCATTGGTCATGTGCGCATTCGTGTGTGTTGGAGGAGGGGCTCTGTAAGGAAGTTGCAGATTTGTTCCGGCTGTGTAATTTCAAATTCTAGCGCACTCGAGCTGGTTTCTACAAAATTACCTACCCCACCTTTAACTGATTATTTTCAACTCAATAAAAATCAGTTAAAATAACTACTAAAAGAAGATGATCGCCTACCAGCCATTGCATGCTATAGTCTCCAAAAAGAAGCCTCACCAGCAGCATTGGGAACGAGGCACGGGTGCAAGTCCTTTTTTAGTTTCTGTCACTTTTTATTTAAAAAAAAAACTATAACATTTGCAGGGATTATGGATGTATTATTGACAAGCCCATCAGAGCAGATATACTTTCTCTGGACGTACTTGAACTGCAGTGCAATCTGGCGTTGTCTCCATTTTACCCTAAATATGTCTTAGAGAAGCTCTTGACTAAAGGTCTATGAATCATATTCATCGTCTCAATTTACAAATAGGGAAAAATACAAATAGCTCCATAGTCCAAAGGTGAGAAGTAAGCTAATAGTAACTGTGTTTGAAGAAAAACACACTTGCATGCCATGAGAAAGCCAGAATATGGGAGTGTTATCTGAAATTTAGTTTTAATCAACTCCTCTCTCAAAGTGTTATGACTATAATTGAACCCAGATGATAGCGTTTTCTGCTTCTGCAAAACGAGAAGCCTCCCAGTGATTTATGTATTTATTGCGTATGGAATGTGTGCATCTCCTCTCATTCCAAATGAGCAATTATTGGGTCGTGGTACCCAACCCAGCCTTTCTCAACACTGAGTTTTCTCAATCCAGCTTTGTCGAAAAAATTCTCATAAATCTTTAGTTCTTGTCCCATGATATCCAAACAACCACCTGTTCTCCAACACCTTGGTCTCCAAAACAAGTCTTAAGCCCTTACAAAAGTCCTATCACTCTCTGCAACATGATTCATTCCAAAAAATGCACACGTGTGTGATGAGACAAACAACCTACTGACAGTCGTTGGGGTTAAAAGGTCTTAAAGGTTTGTCTGTTTAGATCATATGACTTTCTTTTGGTTCAGATTTGCAGTCGGGAACTTTTCTGGCCACTCTGACTGCTAGCTTTATAATTAGTGAGCACACATGAGAGCGGTTTAAACCTCATCATCTAACTGAGGTCAGAAAGTTAAAGCAACGTTTTGACATATTTCGAAACATACATTTATCACTATCTTACCCTGACTGTTGAAAAAAGCCAATTAGAGATGGTTCATCTTCTGGTGTGAATGGATGTGCATTCATTTTCATGACAATATGTGTAGGGCCCAAAGGTAAGGTTTCTGTGATTTGTATTTATTATGTGCTATTTTTTTCACTTATTTTTGGTTGTGGGCCTACACTGGAGCTTGGGGCGGAGTTGGTAGTGGTTATAACTTGAGTGATCACTTGTGGTTTTGCATGGACAGGGAGTCAGGGAGGCGAGAAGCAGAATTTTCAGTTTACTGCAACTTTTGAATGCAATTTCTGCCGCATTTTCTATTGCAATGTTTAACTGCATTCAATCACAAATCCCACCACAATATCAATCATAATCTCACTTCCACTGGTACTTGATTGTATTATTCACCCATGTTTGTAATAAATGGTCAATCAAACGCAAGGAGTGGAGCAGTTTAGTCTGAGCGCCCAGATTTATACCCTTGCGACTTCTTCAGGGCTGCCTACGGCTAGTGATGGGCAAATTAAGCTTTGAATGAAGCATCGAACCGCTTGGACAATTGTATCGGAAAAAGGTTCATTTCTCGAAGCTTCAGTTACAGTGACCTCTCCTGGCGAAGTGCAAGGCTGCAGTGGGTTTAACGCATCTTTGCCTTGAAAAATATTCGATACACACACACACACTAAGACTGAATATCATGTTATATTTTGCAATTAAAGATTGATAATAGTGTGTATTGGGTTATTGAGAAGAGACTAGAGAGTGCTTGACATTTTTTTGGGCGGAGAGGGCCTTTTATCAGTTATTAAAGTATTAAAGTTGAAAAGCAATGATTACAAGTTTAACTATTCCAAGCTTTGAACCAGCTGCGCGGAGGATATCGCTGCATCCTGGCCGCCGGCTCTATCCACTGGGCTATCAATTCCTTAGACCATCGAAGTGTTTTTATATTACTCATTGTCTTTTTGTTCACAACTTCTCCACATTTCGTAGTGTTTCACNCAATAAGTACATTAATTAACTGTCTCGTCGATGTTTGTCTAAATTAATATGATACTATTAACAATCATATTATTCCTATCAGCTGTCAATCACTGTTATGATTCCATAACAGTGATTGACAGCTGATAGGAATAATATGATTGTTAATAGTATCATATTAATTTAGACAAACATCGACGAGACAGTTAATTAATGTACTTATTGCAGCAGTCTGCATAGATTTGGTACCCCTGCTGGTCTTATGCTGCGTTCACACCGGACGCGATGCGAATATTCGCTTCGCTCTAATCGCTCGAGTTTCACCGCGGCAGCCAGCTGTGTTTACTCGCATCATTCAAACAAGACGCGCTGGCTCGGGAGCTAACCACAACAAAATGAACATATTTGACCGTGATTAAATTGTAATACACGTTTCTAAATGATGCCGAAGTAACAACATACTGATACCGGTTAGTAAAAACCATGAATTAATGCTTTGACAAGTCTGCAGACAGACGGCAGGCGAAAAACTTTTAAAATGCTTGTTTTCTGAATGGAGATTGGGTCGACCAGGCTAAGCTAACGTTGTATATGCTCATTCCACACTCATAACAACGGCCTACAGACATAAATAAACCAGCGACTGTATTCGCCATGACAAAGAAAGTCTGTGATTTGTACTTGTTTAACTTTTGTCCAGTTTCTGAACAGATATGAGGAGCTGTGATCTCTGTGTGCTAACTGCTAACAGCTAACGGCTGATGTTTTCTGGTTGAACGTCAGTGACGGCAGGCTGAGATCCTCACCGCTGATTGGCTTCCGCGAGATCGCGTCATGTGAATTTGACGCTCGGGTTGAAAAAATTGAACTCTCGCGTTTGACGCGGCCCCCTTCAATCGCCTCAATCGCGTGATTCGCGCCGCGCCCACCGCTTCATGCGCGCCGTCGGAGCGAATTCGCGTCTGATCGTGTCTCTGCATTGACTTTACATGTAATCGCGCCGCCCCCAAACGTCGCATCGCGTCCGGTGTGAACGCAGCATTAGCATCGCTGCTATGACTCCATCCTAGGGGAAACACTGAGACCAGTCTATGGACCAGACAGATGTGAGTGACTTAAAGCACATATAAGAAAAAACTAAAAAGCATTAACAAACTAGAGTCCACATGGATGATGCTATGCGACTAGCCATGTTTAGGAAAGTAAAATCAGCTGTCCAATGAGGGCTACAGGATAGGGATCAGTAAGCATAATAAGGAAGTTGACAAAAACCGGCACGTCCTTTCTAAAATAATAGTCTGTATCAAGTGCTGTGTGCCTTTGAGCTAGCCCTGGGTTGTAATATGACATACAGTATGTTTTGAGTTTGTGTATACGTTTGCTTACATTTTAGTAGAGCCCCCCCTGGAGAAAGATGCACCAGCCACCACTGTCCAAACAGAAAAGTTTGTTTGTGCCTCTGTAGAGCGTTTGCACCTGTCAGCCACCATAGACCTCCCTTTTAAAGATACAATATCACAATGGGGCCTAATCGCCAAAGACTATTCTGTAATCTTTTGCACAGGTTAATAAATATTATATTTATTATAGAATATTAAGAAATAAGTCTCCTGATTTAAAATAAAGTAGTGTCTATCCATACTGTTACAGGATAATACCGAAATAATTTTGGACGAATAGGCAACTGATGTAATATGGAATATATGTAGATAGATTCAGACGGGGTACTGACCTCAGAGCCTTCAGTCTACAGTGTGGACTCTCCAGAAAGTCACAGAGCAGCTGCACTCCTGAATCATGCAGGTTGTGGTTGTAGCTCAGCTCCAGCTCTCTCAGGTGGGGGGGGTTGGACTTCAGAGCAGAGGCCAGAGTAACACAGCTGATCTCTGATAACCTGCAGGAACTCAATCTGGAAAAATAAAGTACAGTACAGGTGTGTATAGTTACAGTATGAACCCAAGCTTTTCCCCTTTGTTGAATGATTATGTCATTCTGTTATTGTGGATCATTATAACATCACCATTGTACAGGCACCATCTAAATGTAACCACAATAGTTATACACCTATTAATTCTCAATATGGCAGAATCAGCTTGAAGGGCAGAGAATGTTAACACACAAGGAATTAAGCTCCGCTTGCAAGGTCCTCTTTAGGGGCAAATTAAAGAAGAAAGTAATCAAATGAGATGTAGTATGATATGGTTAGTTTAAATAATTGGAATATTTTAGTGTGCCAGACAGGCTGTGCTTGTTGTGTGTTATGTTTATTTTTTTCCCTCCTCCTCTTCTCTTTTTTCTTTCTCCTCCCCGATTTCCTTTCCAGGGGATAACCAGCCAATGAGTTCCTACCTGTATAGTAATAAATAATATACATTGTGGTCTGATGATGCCCCCTGAGCTATAGTGAGTCTTGTTCAAATAGAAAAAGGTCACATGTTTGTGATGGGAGGTTGAGGGAGATGAGTTTGGGGTACTTTTTATATACCCTTATCACGTGGTTGAACTTTGTTTGGGAATAATAGGTTTATTGAATGTTGCCAACCCTGTGAATTTTTCAGGAGCATCTTAGTATAAAAAGTAGTGAGGGCTTGTGTTTGTGATATGTTTTAAAACGGCAGAATTAGCTTACTATGCCTAGTTAAGTTATACGTGTTTATTTGTTTGTCAATCATCTTGCCCTCCCTCTCCTTTTAAATTGCATATATCCTGATGAAGATTTCCACCATGTCACATGGTTATGTGAAAACAAAAGCAGCACGAGACTGACCGCAGCCGAAACTGACCTCAGACTCCGGAGTCTACAGTGTGGACTGTTCAGTCCAGTGGACAGCAGCTCCACCGCTGAATCCTTCAGACTGTTGTTGCTCAGGTCCAGTTCATTCAGGTGGGAGGGATCGGACCTCAGGGCTGAGGCCACAACTTCAAAGTGAGGGTCTGAAAGCCCAGAGTTCTGAAGTCTGTGAATAAAGAAACATGTCAAATTCTTCATAGTCATAGTATTATAAATGAAAAAATAAAAAACCTTTCATAAAGCAGTTGTTCACAATGGATACTGTTAGAATCACTGTATTTATTTATAGATCCATGCAGGCTGCTTCAATTTAAAAGACTATTCTAAAATATAGAGTTATTTGGACACTAATACAACTTTTCATTTTGTGATGTATTTGACTATATTTATTAAAGTTATAAAGGACAATGTCTATGTGTGTGGTACATCCACCATGCTGAGCTAAGCATATTAGGATCATAACCCATGTACAAAAACGTTCTTACTTACTGTACTAATTAGGACGTTATTGAGGGGGGAAACCTTAAAGGCTTATTATCTGTAGCATAGTCAAATAATGCATTGATAAGTGCTCTTTATTTACTTTAGATTTGGAGGGATTGCTGAAGTTACACAATTATGTTCCGCAATGTCAGAAGGATTGATCATTTACAAAATATTATTCATATTATCATTAAAAGAATATGTTAAAATGATCATAGTGTCATTTTTTTAAAGAAATCTGGAGAAAAAAAACGTTTTTGATAAAGTTTGTAGAATATGGTTTGTAGGCTGGGCAGCGCCACAATTATATTGCCACATATTTACACTTTACCAAATACAGCTCTTACTGCGATTTGGATATTGCACTGCTTCTTTTGCATTGAAAGGCTCAACCTTAGATAAAGGTTAGGATAACGTTTTGTTTTTTTCAATAATAACACATGTACTTACACAGCCTTCCTGCAATTCCTGACAGCTGGCAGCAGTCTCAGTTGTCCCTGGTCTGATGTGTTGTACTTCTTCAGGTCCACCTCATCCAGAACCTCCTCTGACATCTGCAGCATGTAGGCCAGCGCTGAGCAGTGGATCTCAGAGAGCATCTTCTCTGAACTGTTGCCTGACTTCAGGAACTCTTGTATATCCTGATGTACCGATTGGTCGTTCATCTCCATCAGACAGTGGAACATGTTGATGCTTCGGTCGGGGGAGATTTCATCCATGTTCGTCTCCTTCAGGTTGTTGATGGCACTCTGGATGATTTGCGTACTGTTTTGTTTCAGACCCAGCAGGCCTCCAAAGGACTTCTGGTTGGACTCCAGAGAGAGACCATGAAGGAAGCGGACAAACAGGTCCAGGTGTCCATTTTTACTCTTTAGAGATTTTTTCATGGCTCTACTCAAGAACACTGTCAACGGGGATCTTGTCCTTCTTCATCATCAGTGTACCCATAATGATCCTCTGAGATATAACCATCTTTTTCCTCTTCATCATCATCATCATCATCATCATCATCATCAAAGTCATCTTGTCCTTCTTCATCATCGGTGTACCCAGTATGGCCCCCTGAGTTATAACCATCTTTTTCCTCTTCATCAGTGTCACCTTCATCAGAATTATATTCATCTTTATCATCATCATCACCATTATCATCATTATCATCAAAGTCATCTTGTCCTTCTTCATCATCGGTGTACCCAGTATGGCCCCCTGAGTTATAACCATCTTTTTCCTCTTCATCAGTGTCACCTTCATCAGAATTATATTCATCTTTATCATCATCATCACCATTATCATCATCATCATCATCATCAAAGTAATCTTGTCCTTCTTCATCATCGGTGTACCCAGTATGGCCCTCTGAGTTATAACCATCTTTTTTATCTTCATGTTCTGCCAGGGAGGAGTTTTGTTCTGCCAGGAAGGCTTCCAGTACCTCTGAGTTTTCGTTGTCGTAACAGTGGTACAAGTAGACTGCAGCCAGAAACTCCTGAATGCTCAGATGAACAAAGCAGTAGACGGCTTTCTTGAAGATCACACTCTCTCTTTTAAAGATCTCTGTACAAACTCCGGAGAACACCAAGGCCTCTGTGACATCAAGACCACACTGCTTCAAGTCTTCTTCGTAGAACATGATGTTGCCTTTCTCCAGATGTTCAAATGCTAGCCTCCCCAGCTTCAGGAGAACTTCCACGTCAGCCTTCGTCAGTTCCTGCGGACTCTTCTCTTGTTCCTCATCATACTTCTGCTTCTTCCTCTTTGTCTGAACTAGCAGGAAGTGTGCATACATGTTAGTCAGGGTCTTGGGTAGATCCTCTTTCTGGTCCATGGTCAACATGTGCTCCAGAACTGCAGCAGTGATCCAGCAGAAGACCGGGATCAGACACATGATGTGGAGGCTCCTGGAGGTCTTGATGTGAGAAATTATTCTATTGCATGTTTCTTCACCACTGAATCTCCTCCTGAAGTACTCTTCCTTCTGGGCGTCAGTGAAACCTCTGACTTCTGTTACTCTGTCAACAAATACTGGAGGGATCTGATTGGCTGCTGCTGGTCGGGTAGTTATCCAGACAAGAGCCGAGGGAAGCAGCTCCCCCCTGATGAGGTTTGTCAACAGCACGTTGACTGATGACTTCTGCGTGACATCGGACACAACCTCATTGTTTTTGAAATTCAGAGAAAGTCTAATTTCATCCAGGCCGTCAAAGATGAACAAAACTTTAGAGACAGCGAGGAGCTCTGCTGTGACTTTCTGTAAGGTTGGATGGAAAACATGGAGCAGCCTGAGAAGACTGTACTGCTCATTTTTGATCAGGTTCAGCTCCCTGAAGGAAAGCAGAATCACCAGACCGACATCTTGGTTTTCCAAACCTTCTGCCCAGTCCAGAGTGAACTTCTGCACTGAGAAGGTTTTACCAATGCCAGCGACGCCGACAGTCAGAACCACTCTGATTTGGTCCTCTTTGTCAGCTAAGGCTTTAAAGATGTCGTGGACCTTGATAGGAGTGTCATTGGCGGTCTCCATCTTGGACGCTGTCTCAAGCTGCCACACCTCATGTTGGGCATTAACCTCTTCGCTCTGCCCCTCTGTGATGTAGAGCTCAGTGTAGATCCTGTTGAGTCGTGTTACACTTCCTGTTGTATCAGTTCCTTCAGTCACACATGCAAATCTCTTCCTCTGGCTGATCTTATGTTCATCTAAAACTGCTTTCTGAAGTCCAAGACTTGTTCTGGATTGTTTTCCACACTGGGGACAGGAGGAGCCTCCTGATGAAGCAGACTGACCCCAGTATGAGGCGATGCACGTTCTGCAGAACCGGTGTCCACAGCTGATAGAGACCGGATCCTTCAGGACGTCCTGACACAGAGCACAGCAGGGCAACATCTCCTCCACAGATACACCACTCCTCTTCCTCTTTCTGTTACGAAGAAGACATATTTTCTAAACGAGGTCTTAAGTCGACAACAGGTCAATAGGTCAACACTGTTTAGAAGCTCAGATAATCAAAGAGAACATTAAAAAAGGAAGTTGTTTTCTATTCTATTTCAGGATTTTTGATATCTAACTTGCATATTGGTGCTTATATAAGTCAAATACAAGCATGATGTGTTTTGTTAATGGTTAAATTGATTAATGTGAATTATTATCTTAATATATATTTAATACGAATATTTCACTTGCATAACCAGGAGGTTAATAGTCTAACCAAAATTGTTCATTTGGATACCAGAGATACCGAAGTGTTAAAATGCAAACTCATTTCCGGATTTTAGGACTTTAGACTTTGTGACACCTCTGACAGCATGCGCAAACCTGCAAAAAACGTATGATTCTGTTTATGGCTCAAAATAAAAACAGTCTATTACTTTGAGTCTGACGGCCCCTACACACGGCGGCGTGCGTTGCCCCAGACACACAAGCACGCGGTTTGATTGGCTAGAGCTTGTACTGGCATATGATTCGATTGGCTGACGCCTCCGTCGAGGCGTCAAAAGTAGAACATTGCTCTACTTTTGCAGCGAGCACCGCGAGAGAAGCTACGCTTTGCTCCCACAATGCAGTTCGGCGAATCGTGACGTCACCCCATTCAAAGTGAATGGGCAGAAGCGTTGAAGCGGCAACGCACGCTGCCGTGTGTAGGGGCCGTTAGGGTCCAGGTTCATTGCTAAGTATGAGGGGCCTCTTTGGAAAAGTCACTCTTCATAGACAGACAGCTGGGGGCTGGAGACTCTGCTCTCTGTCTGCTGTCCAGACCTCTGCAAACACCAAGAAATATGAAATTGAAATGTAACATTCAAATAAATGTTTACTACGTGATCAACAGCTGTCACAGATACCTAGAAGAATGTTTCTTTGATGAAAGGTTTGTTGAATTTTAATTCACATTTTGGTAGAAATGTTATTAGCTCTCCTGTTGTGTTTGTTCCCCCCCCCCTACTTTGGTGTTCACGGTCAAATTTGACCGGTCCTGTTTTAACTGCTATTACATTAACACAAAAACCATTAATCATCACCAAATGTCATTTAACACCCTTTCAAACTGTAAATATTGTATCAGACTACTGGTACACATGAAAAACTGCAGTAATTATACAAAGAATAGACACTGAACATGTTTTGCGTGTGCCATGTGTGATCCATGTGGGAGGATGGGCACATAAGAGCGGGACATATGTCAAATTTTTCTGTGTGTGTGTCGTAGCTGGGGGGGGGAGGTTAGGATGATTCCAAGGGTTCAGCACTGGGGGGGGCAGAGAACACTATTATTATCTTTTTATTAATATGGTTTGAGAAAGAGATACTCACACCGAAGGTAGAAAACGACTCAAAAGGTAAGAATGACACCTCAAGGAGGAAGTCAAACCACTTAAAGTGGTTATCCGAATGGAGTAGGAGTCGCAGAAACTGTGCACATCGACACCCCTCTGGCCAGGTTGAGGTTATAGGAGGATTTTGTTGGATCTTCACCCCGAACATACACCACTTTGTTGACATGAGAAGACAGACATCCTCCTCAGCGTGAGACAGTCGGAACCTTCCGGAAATTCCAACCTAATGACCTCGAAGAGACAGAAAAGAAAGATTAGAAGGAAAAACGACTCGAGTCTAGGACGACTGCAAATTAAAATCCTACCTTATGGTCTGAACATTGAGATATAAAAGACAAGTCGAGACAAGTATAAGAGAAGATCGTCTAGGCTATGGTTCCCCCAACAGGCGAAACTAGGTACGACACGCAGTTTCATAAGGTAAAGAGTATCCAGTTGATTGTCGAAAAGTACCGAACGCACGCAGGACCGACTAGTAGTCGACCTTGTCAGGAGAGTAAACGGGTGACAAGGTTGTCAGAGTCAACCAAAAGTAACAGAAGACAGATTCTAAAACGCTTGACAACAAATCGTAGACTAGAACTAAATAGGAAAGAAGACATAGACGCTACTCGGACCGAAAGGCACCAGAAGTTGAATCAATAAGAACAACCACCGCGTCAAGAGAAGGATAAACGTTACTTATAATTCGAATAGTTTCTAACTTGTGACTTAGGAGGAAGATCGTGGAAGCGAAGGACTATTTTTATTAAGAATACAGTAGGCTTGCTGAATTTAGACCAACTACAAAAAAAATTTCATCAACGATTTGCAAATTTAAAATTTAAAAAAATTTTTCTATATAATATATAAACAATTCCACACGATTATAATATCTTTAATTTTTATATTTAATGACGTTTAATTTTATACTACAATTTTTATTTTTTAACATGTCCCATAGCCTAAATGAAAACTTTTAAATACTTTTAATCTTAAGACAACTTTTAGATACAAATGTCCCAATTGGTATGGCTTCGACATACCTTATACATATCAGTATTGAACACATCGAAAACCTTAAATAAGATATCAGAATAACTTTTTCATAGATAAATTCAAGAAATAGAATATAACTTTGGTGAACGTGTAAGATAGAACCGCGCTAGTTCGTGTACACAAAATAAATATTGTGAATTAATTTGAAAGTTTTACAATACTTAAAAGGATCTCCCACAAAGAGATAGGACACAATTAAGAATGATGTCGTCTCACGCGATAACCATTAAAGGCAAGTTAGGTGCATCCCTGTTGCAGCAAAAACGTTTTGACTGGAGATAAATTGCTTTTTCACATAAACGGAGAATTTTTTACCCTTCTTCTTTAATGGATGATAAACATTGTTGTGCGGTTTGGCGGTTGTGTAAACGTTTGTCCTTATAATTTTTTTTGCGGTGTATGTGTGAACTTCGTCTTTTTTGAAGGTTTAGTCTCAAACAATTTTTTTTGCTCATGAAAAAGTTAATCGTAAAGGTGCTTTTTACCATTGACGGGCACACGTAAACACTTGGTACTCCCGTTTGTCTACCGTTGACTAAAGGTTGGGAAATTGGACTTCTTGTTCCCTAAACTTTTTATGGAGAATCGGAGTGTCGCCTCAATTTAATTAAAGAACAGATCTTTTTAGGTGGTGTTGTTTGTGTGACACAAAATTCTATTGTAAAGATACATCCAAAATGTTACTATTTACCCGGATTAAAATGGGAATGCAAGTATTCGGGGGAGTTTTGGGTAATCATTTACAAACCTGGAAATCTTCGGGTCATACCAATTAGAGAAGACAAATTTTGTCGATAATACCCCTGTTTTACCAAATGCGATAGGTTGTGTACAGTCCTTCTATAGCAGATAGAATTGCGGTGCTTAACCAGCGGTGAAAAGAGCAGCATTAGGTGTAACGTTACAAAGACAACCTTTTGTCTTTTTTCATTGGACTTTCCGAAAGTTGAGGAGCCCCGGGAAAGGAGCTTTTTAACTGAAATTTGCGGAGTGTGCAGGCAAATTTGTGAGTTAAAGTTATAAGGAGTCGAAGGGTTACACCGACCCAGGAACCGGAGGTGTCAGGGATGAACCAAATTACCGGATTTGGTAGGTGCAATTGAATTTGCATGTCTCTGTGAATAAACTTTCACTTAACCGGAGTAGTGGTGTTCCCTGAAAAAAAATTTTTGTCGGAGTGGTGAACAACAATTCTGTTTTGGTGAAGTGAGGTAATTGGAGTCCGAAAGGGTTGACACCGACAACAGACCGAAAGTCGTCAGGGTTTGACCGCGAATTAACCCGGATTTTGGGAAAGTGCAATTTGAATTTTGCATTTGTCCTCTGGATAACTCACTAAACCGGAAAACCCGGCTGTACATTTATTGTCTGGTTTGCTTGATCGTACGTCCCCAAAATTTCATTCCTTTTTTTCTTTTACTTGAAGTGGGACGGGACCAAACGGACGGAATGTGAAAGGCAAATGAATGGTCCACCGTTTAACAAAAATAAAATCTAACAATACACACAGATTGGAGGGACCAAAAGAATTCCTAGGGTTTTAGACCTTGGCAATAATGAAAAGGTAAGCTTTAGTTATTTGAAAAAACAAATTTGTAAGCTAACTTAAATTCCGAATTTACTAATAAAGTGTCATCTTGTATAACCTTGTCATACAATGTTAAACGGACTAAGTGGTGGAAAGTTAAAATCTTAAACCTACCTAATCCAGTTGAACATTGTACACAAGGGCCAGTTTTTTACTGGGAGGTATTGCTTTTGTCCTTTAAAAATCATTGTAAGGGCTAAGTCCTAGTTGTTGTGTGTGTGTGGTGTGTGTGGGTGTGTTTGTCGTGGTGTGTTTGTGTGGTGTGTTGGTGGGGTGGTGTGTGGTGGTGTGTGGTTTTGTTGTGTGTGTGTGTTGTGTTGTTGGTCACAAACGACCCAAATTCCATGTCATCCCGTCTACCCGAGATAAAGATAAAGAAGAAATAGTAGGGATATTTTACGTAGAGAAAAATAAAAGTAAAAGTCCATCCAACCATGGAATTCATTAAAACTTTCCCCGGAACCGTTAGACAATTTTTACGTTTCTACTTATATTCATGAGAATAAATAATAGGGTAATAGTATAAAGTAAGGTTGCCTTTTACCTTAGTCTTTTTAATTCACCAATATACTACCTTTTATTAAACTTTTCAAGTTTACCGGGAAACTTTCCTTTTTACCTGAAGCCTTTAGTCAAAAAAATTAAAAAATAAATGACAAGACATCTTCAAAAAAGCTTACAATTACCAAAATACAAAACACACCGGGGTTCCTTCGAATCAACAACAGTACCGTTTTGTGTCCGAATTACCCCTAGGATTATTTGAAGTTTGAAGAATTAACCCGAAGCCTAGATGGTCCCATCCGACGATCAGTTTGTGGGTTGTGGTGACCAACTAACAATGATCGATCGAACCGGTTTGCAAGTCGGAATCTGGCGATCGATTCGTATGTCCTCACCCTGGACCAATTTAAAGTTACCGGCTCGTTTTTACTTTCCTCTTTCACCCCATACTAATATTTTACACAAATAACATAACTCACCCATCCTTTCCAATTTCTGTCAACAGAGGATAGTTTGTATAAGAAACAAGACTTTGTTGAAATGAACACTTGGTCCCCAGACGGAAGGGTGGTTACCCTTCTCTGGACCAGCGCCACAATAATGTGAGGTCGGAAGGACCTAGGTCACCCCCTGGACGAACACCCACCCTCCGTCCAACTAGGTTTGGTAGAACACTTTCTTGTACCGCCCCCCCCAGTGTTAGGAAAACCTTTTGAAATTTTTTGGAGGGGCGATAAATTCGACAGATATTAGTTCCGTGGTCAAGAAACTAACGCAATAATAATTAATCAAACTTTAATGAAAATGAATACAAAATGTAACTATTATAAACCCCCCCTGTATAAGTAAAAAAAGTAAATACCCTAGTTTTTCACCCCCATGTTTCGTTGGGTGCAACGAGGGGGTCCAAGG